TCATTTTGGAACAGAAGAAAATAAATAAATGTTTTTAAGTATTTTAAAAAAAAAGCCAAGATTAATAAGAAAAAATAAAAACTATAATTAAAAATTTGTATAGTATTTAACTATAAGTATATATATATAAATGAAGATATATATATATATATATATATATATATATATATGTATATATATATATATACATACTATAAATACATAAATTATATATAATAAACTAAAAAATATTAAAACATATTTATTAATACTTTTTTTTTTGTTTTTTGAATACTATTTGCAAAAAGGAGAGAATTAATTTTTAAAAATTATTAAAAAAAATAACATTTATTGAGCAAAAAAAAAATATAAATAAAAAACTTAAATTAAGAAAGCACATTCTTTTCTCTTTTAAGAAATTTATATATATATAATTAAATATATATAAACATATATATTTATATTAAAAATAAAGTAAAATTAAGTAAAAATTATTATTATAAATGTGAAATTAACGAAAAAAATAAAAATTAAAAAAAAAAACAATATAATTATGATGTATAAAATATTATATATAAATTATAGATATCTATATAATATTTAATAAATTATGTATACTTATAAAAATATTAAATTTATAAAAATATGCACATTAATTCATCTTAATGAATATTTTATGTGTACATATATATATATCATTATCTGTATATTTTTAGAATAAATAATATTAAATTTAAGCTAATTATTGGCTTTATGGTATTACATATATGTATTTATATTGAGATATCCTTTTGAAAATTATACTAAATATGTATATGTATGTATTGTAGTGGTAAATTATAAAATATAATTTTATTGTGATTATTTAATAATTACAGATCGCATTGGATAATAATAATAAGGTAGTTTATGTGATGGCATCAAATTTTATATCTCGATTTTTTTTTTTGGCGAGAATCTGTTTCTCAATGTTAGAGAATCGTAAATAAACTAGATTTATAGGTCTGTCTGTTCAGATCTGTTCAGATCAGTATCTCAAAAGTTTGACTGATCCGATTTTAACGCAAATTTATATTTGAGTTTAATTTGAGGATGAGTCAGATTGATCAACTTTTGTGATATATCAGATCTTTAGAATACATTCGATCTTAAGCCATACGGTTGGTTATATGTTCTCCACATCCAGATATATTTTTTATTGCCATTATTATTATTATATGAATAATTCAATGTTATAATGAAATTATTATTCTGATTTAACTGAAATAACAAAAAAAGATTAATTTTAATATTTCAACATTTAAATTCAGTTAATACAGTTAAATTCAGAATCTAATTATAATTTAGGGGTTGCAAAAAATAATTACTAGTTCTTGTATATAAGTATACAAATTGAATTTTAATTCTGTTATGAATTATAGTGTGGTATGTACTTGAATATTAAAGCAGTTCATATATTAGTGATTCATTATAATTAAATTTTTTTTGTGTAACAAAACTTAAAAGTAAAATTTAAGAAATATATGTACAAAATAGATGTACTGAGTTATAACAATAGATTTTGTAAATTTTTTTAATTTGACTCTTCCTTCCGACAAAAAAAAAATCGTATATGCATATCCATATATAAAAGAGTATTAAGAACTTAATAAAAATTTAATAAATTTTACTCTAGAAATTTTATGAAAACTATTAATTGTAAAGTTCGAAATCCCAATTATTCCAAAATTACATGAATAAAAATTTTAAAAGTGAATTTTCAATTCTGCAACAAAACTATAATATATTGTAATAAAAATGTAAAATATTATTTTAATAGTTAAAATATAATTGTAATTATAAATAATCACTTATATTTTATATTACCACTCATTGTACTTTCTCATATATTTTACATAATACAAATATATATATATATATAAAACATATTAATATATTATACAATATATTTATATATATACATAAATATTAAACATATTAATAAAATTACATTTTAAATATTAAAATTTTAAGGGGTAAATGTTGTAGTTATTTTTTTTAAAGTTAGTTGAAAATTAATTATACAATTATAATGACAGAATATAAATTTAAAAAAAAAAAAACTAATTTATATATATATTAAAAATATTAAAAAATAAAAAAAAAACACTGAAGTGTTCTTCATTGGAAAATCTGTTGGTCGTGTATTAAAAAAAAAAAAACATAAAAAATTATAAATTGTAAAAGTAAAGGTAAAAAAAAAAATAAAAATTGTTTTTTTGGTGTACATTTTTCCGATTTTAAAAAAAAAAAAAAGTAAATATAAATAGAGGAGAAAGGAGAAAACATAAAAAACACACAGATATATTATATAAATTATATTATATATATACAACATATATACATATATATTACTAAAATATACAAAAAAAAGGAAAATAAAAAATTGCAAAAAAAAAATAATAATAAAATTTTTCATTTAACATTTGCTAGCCTTATTAATGGTTGGCTAATTAGATGGCTATTCGAATCGATTAAACTTGGAAAATAAGTCATATGGTGAAATTGTCATCGAACAATGCTTCAACAAGACAGACATAAAAAATATCAATATCATAGTTTTCTCAACCTATTTGAATTCTGAAAAAAAAAATTAAATTTTTAAAAGTTTAAACAAAAGGGTAATTTAAGTTGAGTTTTTCTTTTACAAACTGCAAAAGTAAGTGTGATGTGTGTAGATCAACAGTTGTAGTGCAACTACGGTACACAATGAAGTGTGATATCCAAAAGACTGTTTTGTCAGGTGAATTTTTTTTTATGTTATTTAAAATAACACACCATAACACAACTTTTTTCCTTTAGCCGTCACAGAACTGTTCCTCCATTTTTAAAGTTTTAATTATTAGTAGATTTATTTCATCATTTGTTCATTTTTTTCCTGTTTTAATTTCTATGCAAAGTAAATCGAATATATTTCAAATTTCTTCCATGTTTATGATCCTTAAAGAAAAATGTATTCAAAAAAATTAAGATTCAAGAATAATATCTGCACAAAGTATTTAAATTTTTTGCTAAGGAAGCCAAAGCCTTCAAAATTCTTATTTTTACAGCAATAGTAACTTTCGCTGGATCATCATCAATTTGAACTATGTATATTTATATGCTGTAAGCAAAAATACAAGAAACTCTACATTTACATATCCAATTTAGTACAGCCGCATTGGACTCAACTTTATTTAAACTAACCACATCGGGCGTATAATACATAAAACACGTATCTCAACAAATGCTGTTCGTTAATATAATTTTGTTTTTTCAGACTAAAAGCTGCAACTAAAATTTATTTTTGCAAAATTTATCGAAATGACGTGGATTTGATATTAATATAAATGGGGAGTAAAATGAATTTTACTTTCTGCAGATTTTCCCAAAATTCAAAAAGGCCCTGTATAAAAGGCCTAGTTTTATCAAAAAGAATATAATTGCGATTTTAATTGAAATGGATTTTTTTTCTCAAGTTTTCAATGTTCAATCCAGTTTTCGTTCCAGTTTAATCTTAACGAATTCTTAAACTTTTCAAAATAATGGTGTGATGTTTAACAAATTTCAAATTATTGCTTAACAAATTTTTAACTTCATTCGAATAAATTTCAAAATGTGGGTATATTGAGATTTCACATTTGAATTTTTAAATATCAAATATACTTTTGTTATTTTTAAAACCTTTCCAAACTTAAGTTTAGAGATAGTCACACATTTCTTTGGAAAAAACACGGAGTATAGTACAAAAAACACAATTCACAATTTGAAATTACATTGTACGAATCAGTTCCCACTTTTTTCTTCTGTAGTACATACAACATGTAGGATGAAATTTATATTATAAATTCTATTTCCAATTGTTTTGGTCTCAAGTCTTGTAAATAATACAACAATTACTTTTACTACATTATTCGACCTCTGCTCTGCTATTATTATTATTTTCATTCTAAAATTATTTAAAATATTAATATTGAAATTTCGGTTATTTTAAAAATAATCGATTTATAATATTTTCGATGAATCGATTCTTTCTTTCAAAAAAAAGAAAAGAAAAACAATCGATTAAGCTTAATAAAAATAAATATTAATATTTTGGTTGTATAAAAAGAGAAGTGTAAAATAAAAAATAAAAAAAAAACAAAAGTATTGATAAGAGAGCTTAAAAATTATTTCGATTATAAGAATTAACTTTTTTAAAAGGGTGGCACATAATTTATGAACTGAATGAAAAGAAAAAATTAATTGAAAAGTTTATTGAATTAAAAAAAGAAGGGGCCTGTTATCATTGTTTTTATCATTCACATTTTTTTTAACCCATCGTTCATTTTTAGTGTTATCATTAATAAATGAACTGTCAAGAGTAGTTGTTATTGTACATTATAATTTTAGATTGAAAAAAATTCGATGTCAGCGTTGAAAGCAAAAATGAATGAAAATTACAACTGTTTATCGTTCACTCATTTTTCCTTTCATTCAATTTCCTTTCATAATTAGGCATTTACACTATTTTTCTTTAAATAATAATGCCGTTTTCTTACTCTAAGTAAAAATTTTTGTAATAATTCAGAGAATAAAGTATAATAAATAAATAAAAATAAATAAATAAAATTTTTTGTGTCAATAATGAAAAAAATAATTGTCATTGTGATTTCATGACAGGTGCCAAAATAAATTGAGCTTAAAGTCAATTTCATTTGCAACATTCTGTTATAAAATATAAAAAAAGAAAAAAACAAAAATTTTCATCTATAAAAGCTCTTTTTTATTTTGTTAATCTCAAAGCACGTGAAATCTTTATTTTAGTTTTTCTTCTAAAATATAATATACATACATATGTATACACGCTTATTGAAAAAGTTCTTTGTTACTATATAAATTTATTTTTATATATATACAATTGTAAATATAAATGTTTATCATATTATGTGTTCAGCGAAATATTGTGCAAGAATATAAATAAAAGGAAAATGTGCTTAGAAAAGTTGCTTATAACGCCAGTAAAGTTCTGTTGATTCATTTCAATTCTAATACACTTACTGACTGTTTTTTATTTTATTCTAAATATAATTTTAAAACATTAATATATAATAAAAGAAAAGTGTTAATAAAAACCGGTCTATTATTTTTTTATTTTATAAAAAATATTTTTTATAATTTATAAGTGAATTTTTTTAAAAAATAATTTTTTAATTTAAATTAAGTGAAAAAAGGAAAATTTAACATTATGCCATTCACACGCGATATTGTTGAAGAAATTAGTAAAGAGAAGATGACTAAATCAGATACAATAAGATTAAGAAATCGTCATATTGGGTAAGTTTTAATAAATTAATTTCTAAATTTTATAAGCCTAAGGCTTTCATAATATTTTTCATAATTAAAAGTTTTCATAATTAAAGTTAAATGTTAATTATTTTATTATATTGCATAAATATAAGACTATAAAGGTTATAAATAGGTATAGGTATAGGCTATAAATTTAATCGTAAGATGGTGTTTATTTAAACAGAACTTATATTTTTTTATAGATTATTTTGAAGGTTATTCTGACCTTGTAGTTAAAATTTTATCCTATATAATGTTAAAATTTATATGAAGAGTAATGGTAAATAAATATATCCGTGTATACATATATAGTTTATTGTTTAAATGTGCTTATTTATAAAGTACATTTGCACCGATATATATATATATGTATATATCCGCATGTCAATATTTATTTTAGAAAATTTCTTTTATAAGGAGCTTTTTGCAAAGTGGTTTGTATAGAATTTTTTTGATTGTTATTGTTTTTTTGGCAAATTTTCGGTTACAGTATTTAGGCATTTTATTTACAATATATATTCAATTTTGTGTACAGGTGTAATAATTTAATTGTAATAGATCTCGGAAAATTGATTCTATAAAATATTTTTAGAATTTCAAAAATTAAATTACTGCGGATGTTTTTAAGGATTCTATATTCATTTGCTTGCAATAATTGTCTAGTTCACAATTTGACGATAGGTAATTGTGATCAAATATGACGGCGAAAATATTTCACTGCTAATTTTTCATAAATTTCAAATTATATGATCAAAAATTTTAAATATTTCAATTTATTGTTGTGCATTTTCTATAATTAAATATTTTAATTTCAAATTACAAATATACAAATTTGTTTTGAATTTTTTTTTGTTATGTTTCGGAATTGAAATCATTTTGAAAAATTTTGCATTAATGATAATTTTTACTAAAAATAGATTGTTGTTTGTTTTTTTTTTACAATAATACAACCATACTTTTTTATGTTATGCACACGTTTTACCTTTATTATATGAGATCAATAGTTTTAGAAAAAATCTATATATTTCTTATCATTATTATTTTTTGTTTTGCTTTGAAAATATTTTGTTTAAAATAAAAAAAATTATTGTTTTTATTTTCAATGTCATTTCTAATCTCTTGTTTTTTTTGTTAAATGATTGCAATGAGAATTGCAATTTAGATTATTGTTTGTTATTTATTTTTAATATTTTTTTTTAAAATAATATTTTTTTTAAATTAATTTAAATATAGTTTTTCTATTTATTTGAAAATTTTCGTACGTAATTATTAGTATAAAAGTTTTTTGTATAAGTTATTTCCAAACTGTAATACTTTAGATAACTAACTTGAAATTACTTAAAATTAAGTATAGTTATCAGAAAAAATGTCTAATGCTAGTTTATCGGAAAAATTATCAATTGCATTTATCAATATTTCCAATAGTGAAAGTATTTCAAAACTGTTTTCAATTTTTGATATTAAAATTGTAAACTTGCAATGTCCTCAAACATTTATATAATTAAATTGTTTTACATAATTTCGATATTCTGTATTCGCAAATAAATAATTTTAATAATCTTCCTTAATTCTGTCGAATTCCCTCTATTTTGACATGAAAGTATAATCATAGAAATGCAGGAGAGTTGAAAAGTTAAAAACTAAGCAAAAAATTAAAGAAAATTTGCTCTTTTCTACTTGGACAAAATTCCATTTACAGTTGACATTCATTTCCTAATATTGAGATTAATAAAATTAATAATTACACTCTTTTGTTTAAAATGGTATATAAAATAATTAAATGTAAGGACGAAATTTTCGGATATTGTCAAACAATTTCCTTTAATCAACCGTCTTGACAATTTGTTTTCTTATAAAATAATTCAAAATTTATTGTAAAGCTGTAAGATTTTCACAATACTAAATTATATTAATTTATTAAAAATTGTCAACTTAATTTGGTAAAAACTGATTACTCAAAATTAATTAACGCTTTTTTTTTTGTGGTACTCAAAAATTTTTTGAATGATACTTTCTTTATCGTCATCATAATTTTAATTTTATTTATTTGCCCCCCAACGAAAATTGCGTTACTAAAATTATTAATGAAAATATTTCTGACATAAGTATACCTATAATAAATTGCGATTATATAATTTTTTTTTTTTTGCGGTCATTAAACCTATGACGCTGTTTTAAGACAATATGCGTAGAAAAATTAAATAAAATATATATGTACATATTATATATATATTTGGGACCCATGTACTTAAAAATACGCAATTCATTTTAAAATTTATTTTTTTTATTACATCAAAATTTTAAATTTTAATTTTTATTATATAAAAGTAATACTTAAATTAGATAAAATTTAATACGAATTACGTAACAAATCTAAGTTATTATATTAAATTTAAGTATTTTGTAATTTTAATAAAATTGATTACATATACTTCGAAACTAATTCAATTAAGTGTTTCCGTAATATTATTAAGATAAAATATTTTTATTTATTAAATAATGATTTTATCAGTAGCGAAATTACGCTCTTGTTTATTATGAGTGCTATAATTTAGAAAATTAAAAAAATTTTATCATTTTATGCGAATTTTCTTTCAAAAAATCAAATTAAACTCTATGCACATTTTTAAAATATTTTACTTTATATTGTTGTTTCTCGTTAAATATCTTTTACGTGAATATTTTTAATTTAATAAAAATTCAATTCGCTATATTTAATTTGCAATATTTTGTTCAAGATTATAATTATTTCAAATATAATATAATTATGAGCTTGTATTTCTAAATTAATGTAATTATGAGTTTGTAATTTATATATTTTCCTAGTAATTATAATAAATTTACTAAATAATAATTTGTAAATTGCTATAATTTGAAATTTATTAACAGTTTATAGTTTGTATAGAAATTTAGAACAATGTGTGGAAAATTATTTAAAAATTTTATTATAATGCAAAATCTAATTAAAATTATCAATAAACTATAATCATTATTGCAGTATATCATGAAAAGTGTTATACAAATTATGGAAATTACATTTTCATGTGAAAAATAAATAAAAAAATATTGAAATTGTTTAAACAAATCATTAACTTAAATTGCATATTATGCATTGTCTATATGAAAATTGTGAAATATTTATTAATATAATAGTTAAATATTTAATTTAGAATATGTAAAATAGTAATTTAGAATATTCAACAATCATTAAATATTTTATTAAATTGAAAATTTGAAACCAGTTTATGTCATAAATCTATTTACATTCTGATAATACTTTATAAAAATTTAATATTATCAGAATGTAAGAACAGTTTATTCTATGAATTTTACTAATACAAATATCATAGTTGTGAAATTAATAAGTAATGTGCTTATTACACTAATAATTTAACTTAATGGAAATTTCTTCATGCAACTGCAGAACAGATGAATGACGTAATCAAAGGAACGAGTTAAACGCAGAAAAATTAATTAAAAAATTTTTCTCTTCGAACTGGACTCGAACCAGTGACCTACCTCTTTCTAAGCGGACGTTCTACCAAATGAGCTACAGAGGCATGAAGAAATTGCCGACGAAATGTTATCTACAGTGCTTTATACTGTAATCCACATGATTACTAAGTATGTGCCATAAATTTTTTCCACATTTTCAATTTAGAATAAACCAAATTTTTCAATAATTAATTTTATTATTTTGAAATATTTTATATTATTATTTAAAATCAATTCTTTATAGTTAAAATTTTATTGAAAAATGCCATATTATTTTATAGAAAAATTATATGCATAATCTGTGATATTATGACTTGTGACATAACAGTAAAATTTTATATTTAAACAGAAAAGGAAATAAATACAAAATAGATACGTGCTGTTCCATATTTTATAATATTTAAATAATTTCGCACCCTTGTTTTTTTATTGCATATTTTAAATGAAAATATGTAGATTTAATATTTTACTACCGGTTGCATATATTATATAATAAATAGGAAAAGGGTAAATATTTTTCAATTAACAATCATTTATATTATTATTTTTTTTTTTGCAAAATATATTTGTTTTAACGCCTTTAAATATATGTACAGGAGGTATGTGTATTTTCGTATATTATGTCAAAAATTTTATGCTCCCACAGGATGTTTGCATTAACACCAATCTTCTTAATTTAAATTAATCATAACATAAAGATTTAGAATCACTTTTGTATACGCATAGGTAAATTGTTTGATAAATAAAATATGTGCATAAAAAAAAAATAGCAAAAAAAAAAATATGCACACAATTTTTTAAGTCTATATAATTTTTATTTTGTATTAACCGAGTGTTTCACATTTTTTTTTTACAGGAAATCATGCCAATTATTCTATCGTAATGACCCTCTAAAAATTGTCCGCGGTCAAGGTCAATATATGTTTGATGAAGAAGGTACCCGATATTTGGATTGCATTAATAATGTTGCTCATGGTAAGCTTTTTTTTTTTTTTTGTTTGTTTTTCTTTATTATTTTCATTTTAAAATAAAAGAACTAACCTCACTTTTATATGAAATAGTCGCATGTTATTATAAAAATTTTTTTTGGTTAATGAGCTTTTATTGTATGAAAACAAACATTTTTAGTCTCGCATAATATTTTGCAATAAACGTAAGAACCTATGTATATATATGTATATATATTATAATATACATTTATGTATTATACGTAATAATGTGATATAGTTAAACGCTTAGATAACAAAATTTTATACACAAATTTTGCTCACTATGCGCAAATAAAATGTTTACACATTTTTATTTTTACCTATGTACACTTTTTTTTTGTCATATTTTTGAGTCTAAATAAATTTAGAATATTTATAAATTATAATTTTCATGTTACGTAATACATTATATTTAATTTCAATAAAAATATTATATATAAATAATAATATGTAATATACAGAGTGGGGGCTCTTAAAAATATTTAATTTAAAATAAAAATTTTATTGTATGCAATTGTAACAGTGACAATTAATTTTATTATTGTTATTGTTTTTTATTACAATCGTGAATTGCAGTAGATTATTTAATAAATAAAAATATTGTGTAAATATTTTGAAATTATTAAGAGAGCTTTAATTACATACAGTATATATGCACATACATTTTGACTATTAACAAAGACGAGAGATAACTATATTACAAAAATAAAGGTTGAATGTTATTTACATTAATTTATTATAAAAACAAAAAAAAAATTTAATAATTTTTAATTAATTTAAAAAATTTGAAAAAAAAAAAATTTTTTTTTCTAAATATAAATTTATTTTATGTATGTAATTTTTTTTTTATTGAATTTAATATTGATAACATTAAATTATAGCGTCCAATTATACTTTGTTGCTATTAAAAAAAATAATAATTTAACAACATAATTTTGATAGCAAATAATTTTTATGTACAATATTCATAATTACTTTCTTCCATAGTACCTAAATAAAATTTTTAGCGCCGTCACGTGATTTTATTGACATTTACGCAAATAATAATTTTAGATTCACAAAAAAAAATAATATTAATTGGGCAAAAAAAAAAATTTAGAGGTCGAATATGTGTACGAAATATTAGAAGGAGAGTGATATCTCTAAGAGCCGATAATTTTGATTTATGACATTCTGTATTTGTATAATATGTATATGTACATTTGTATGCGACAGAAATATCTTATACGTCAAATTATTCATGTATATACATATGTATAATGTACATGTGTCTCCCCTAATAAAAAAAAAATTTTGGATTCTGTAATTATTGAATAAAGAAATTAACAAAAGGCAATAACAACGACAAAACAAAAAATAATTAATTTATGATAAGAAAAGAAAAAATTGTTTATGTTTCAATGGAAATTTTACTAAATTTTTTTATTCCTCTTTTTTTTTTTTAATATTATAGTGATATGAAAAAGGTCAATTTTCAATTAATAAAAACATTAAATGGGTGGCAATTAATTAAGTAAAAAGCAGAAATTTTCTGTAATTTTTTGAACTCATAACAGGCCAATGGAACAAGTATGGAACAATCAAATTTAACTTTATTTCTTAAATTCTTAGAAGACATACCTATTTCGAAAATATCCGAACACCCGAATATATTTGAAAAACGTACATATGTTTGCTTTAAATCTGTTCCATTTTAATAAATTTACGACTTTATTTAGGAATTTAGAGTAGCCCTACTATCCTTTTTTCACTCCTAATAGCAGTAGAACTCGTATAGCTATTAATTGGTTAATTATGACTAGTTTCGTTTAAATTCTTGTGAAAATAAACTTTTAAAATCACAAAATATCAATTAAATTTCAATAAATTTTAATTGTATATACCAATTTTAAACTTTTATACATTTAAATTAATTATTTAGTAAAACCTTTAACTAAATGTTGTCAATGTTAATTTATTGAATTAAAATGTTAAAGAAGAAAGCGGTTTTAAGCAGACTAAATGAAAATTTCTAATGCAGATAGTAACTAAAATTTTTGTTTTAAACTTAAAATTTTGAAAACATAAAATATTGCGTATTCTATTTTCAATATTCTGCTTTTTGGCCGAACAGGCAATGAATTCATGTATTACGTTGTAATGTCAGTATAAAAGTATTATATTAATGGCAGTCGTTATGCCGGATTTTTGTCTTATGCGTTTCAACTCGCCTTTGTTTTTTTTTGACTAGGCTATTATTTTCTTGGTTTTAGCTTAATTTGACTAGATCTGTTATATTTGCATTCTAAATCTGCTTTAAGTTGTATATAAATATTATTTTCAAATTTTTTTTTTTGTTATACAAATAATTATCTCAAATGTTTGTTTCTCAAACTGTTTTTGTTTTCAATCTTTTATACAATGTGATATTTTTATTTGATTATTTGCTTCGAAACAAAATATTAAGATGGTTTGTTTGTTTTCACGTTTTGTGCCACTTTTTCAATCATGATTTCTGGATGCGGTATTTAGTAGCACACAATATTAATTAAGTATTTTTATAATTTTTTAAAATAATTTTAATTTTTTTTTTTAAATTTCTTCAGTCCAAAGATTATAAAGAAAAATAAAAAAAAAATTAGAATGGCATCGATGTTATCATTCGCCCTTTTTATTATATTGTATAATTTGTATTTCAATTATTATTTTCAATCATAATAATTTTTTTTTCCATTACGATTTTTTAATTGTTTTAGATTTCAATTACAATATGTGTACATTGATATAAATTTAATGATAAGAGTAAAATCCAACATAAAATATAATTATATTTTTATATAGTAGGACAATAAACCATACTTAATACACGTGATAATCATACTTTGTTATACTCTATATTTATATAACAAAATAAAATAAGAATCAGAGAGTGTTTAAAGTCGGCTGATTAATTAAAAAAATTATAAAAATGTTTCAAGTCACGAGTAATATAAAAGGCATTTAATATTATTTTTTTCTTCATATACGTATAAAACATTGATAAAAGCTCTTTAGTCTGTCACTTAATCCAATATTAATAAATTTAGTTTACATTTTAAAATGAGATCTGCAAAGATTTTTGTTTTTTTGTTTTGTTTTAAGTTTATTTGAATTAGAAAAATTATAAAGTAAATAAATTTTTACTATTTTATATTTTAGTGAGATAAGCTAAATTTTATTTTTAAAATATTTTATGGAGCTACATATATATACACATATTATAATATAGTATTTATTTATTTGTACATAAGTATTTTATATATAGAATGAGTTATTTATAAGTAGAAAAAAAAAATAGTAGTAAGCCTACGTTTAAAGTGGGCCAATATTATTATTTGATAAAAATTTTTATAAAAAAATATGAGGGCAATTAACCTGACATGCAAAAGAAGAAAAAAAATAAGTAAAATTGAATGGATTTTTTTTCTAGCTTTTATAGTTTTTTATACACACATAGTTTGTGAAAGAATGCAAAAATTGTCATATTTATGCGGAATGCGGAGTATGGAGTGTGTTTAATACAAAATATGCAAATAGATTTTCTTTCTTATTAGAATAGACATAGGTATATGTCCTTTTCATTAGTATCAAATTATGAGTTGACTTGGCAATGTTTGTACGTCCGTCCGTCAGTGATAAACCAAAAACTAATTGAACTCTGCAAATATTCACAAATGATTTTGGTATTTACAATAGTAAATATCAAAATCCTGTTCAAATTGGATGTGATTGCATATGATTGTAACTACAATTCGCTCAACTTTGACAACTAAAATAAGATGACATACGAGTATAATCTGCATTGAAGTTTAAGGTGCCGTTTACATATTTTAGAAACGAAAAAATTTAAAATTAAATATCTGCAATAAAATCTGATTATACTGTTTACATATTTGACCGAAAATATTTATTGCAGTTAAGACTTTACGTCAAAATGTAACAATTTGCTACGAAAATTATAAACAAAATAAAAGAAACCTGCTGATCGCTAAACTGTCTATTCAACTATCTATTGAGCTTTTTTATACATCAAATGTTCTTTTGTTTTCCCATTGTTTCGATTGTTCTATAGTTTTATGGCATAAATTCGATTTTTATTTAAGAATAGAGTAAAAAAAGTATAAACTTCATTTACTTAATAAGTTTTACCGTTATTAGTTTTATGCGGCTTAAAAATTATAATCGTATAACGATTGATAATTTTTTGCTTCGCATACGTACATACAAATGTATGTATGCAGTTACATATAAATATGTTTTAAGAAACAAATGCAAATACTTACCTATTTTAATTTTCAAAAACTTTGCAGTTCATTGAAGTTGAAATTTTAAATGAAGAAAAAAACCTTAATTTTTCTTAATATTTTCCGTTTCTAAGCTACTATATATACATACATGTGTTATTTACAAAAAACCTTGTACGAGGTCAAGAATAAAAAGCTTAAACTGATTTAAAAACACCTAAATAATTCATAATACTTATTATATCTAGAGTTGCCTAATTAACCATAAATTATAAAAATTATTTAGAGCTTTTGAGTGGCACTTAACTATTTATACCACTTAACTAATCTTAATTATATGTTGTTAAAAAATTTGATTCCAATATTTGTCGATCAACGTGCAATTGATATGGTATGCGTCAAACAATGAAAATTTTGCAATTGAATAACTGAATTTTGTTAAAGTTTTTTTTTTATTTTACATATTGAGGTCTTAAGAGCCTTGAGTTCACCTTTTAATAGAATTAAATATTGTTAATCGCGTGATCAAATTAATTGCAATATTGTATTTTGCTTGAAATATTTCATGCAACAAAATGATTTCTTTTTTTGCACATAATTAAAAACGTACATATATACATACATATATATAATATAATATGTATGTATACAAAATAAATATTACAGACACAAATATAGAATTGAAAATTATGACGCTAAAATAAAAATAAATACCTAGTTTTAAAATATGCTTACATTTTAAATAATTTTACAATTTGTAATTAAATAAATTTAAAAAATAGTTTTATTTGTATTAAATTTTATTTATTTTTTAATATTATTTCTAGTTGGCCATTGTCACCCAAAAGTTGTACAAGCTGGTTGCTTTCAAATGGCAGCACTTTCAACAAACAATAGATTTTTACATGATGAACTTGTCCAATGTGCAGCAAATTTAGTTAGTAAAATGCCCGGAAATCTTTCAGTTTGTTACTTTGTCAATTCAGGATCTGAAGCAAATGATTTGGCATTACGTTTGGCTAGAACACATACAAAACGGAAAGATATTATAACACTTGATCAGTAAGTTTATTTTGTTGGTTTTTTTTTTTATTTTCAAAATTATGATGAAATTATTACAAGTAATTAATATATATTGTATTTTTTAGCGCTTACCATGGTCATTTGAGTTCAGTTATGGAAATTTCTCCTTACAAATTTAATCAACCAGGTGGTGAACCAAAACCTGATTATACTCATGTTGCTGCTTGTCCTGATATATATCGTGGAAAATATCAAGATAAAAATTATCCTGGTGCAGATATGGGAAAATTATATGCAAATGATGTTGAAACAATAATTTCAACTTTAGAAAATGAAGGGAAAGGAATTGCTGGATTTATTGCAGAAAGTTTACAAAGTTGTGGTGGTCAAATAATACCACCAGAAGGTTATTTTCGTAGAGTTTATAAAGCTGTTCGTGCTTCTGGTGGTGTTTGTATTGCTGATGAAGTTCAAGTTGGTTTTGGACGTGTAGGTTCACATTATTGGGCATTCGAAACACAAGATGTTGTTCCAGATATTGTAACAGTAGCTAAACCTATGGGTAATGGACATCCAGTTGGTGCTGTTGTAACAACACCTGAAATTGCTGAAAGTTTTGCAGCTAGTGGAATTTGTTATTTTAATACTTATGGCGGTAATCCAGTTTCATGTGCAATTGCAAATGCTGTAATGCGAGTCATTGATGAAGAAGATTTACAACAGAAAGCCAAAGAAACTGGCAAATATCTATTGAAAATGTGTGAACAATTAAAAGAAGAATTCGAAATAATTGGTGATGTACGTGGAATTGGTTTATTTGTAGGAATAGAATTGGTAACAAATAGAAAAAATCGGCAACCAGCAACAGAATATGCTAGATGGGTTGTTAATCGAATGAAAACTGTTCATAAAATATTAGTTAGTTCTGATGGCCCAGATGATAATGTTGTAAAACTAAAGCCTCCAATGTTATTTAATCGTGAAAATGCTGATGAATTTTTATTAGGATTCAGAGAATGTTTATCATTGATTGAAAATGAAAGAAAAACTGTAACAGAAGGAACATGTTCAACTTTATCATCTATAAATTCAAAACCCACAAATATTATTTCAACTAAAAATGAGCAATTGATTAAGTCAGTTTAAGTTTTACAAACAGAAAAAAAATATTATATATTTTTGAAATAAGAATTTAGGATAGAAAATTTTAGAATTATAAAAATATTATTTAGTTTTTAAGAAAGAAAAAGCTTTATTATACTTTATTATTTTACACTTTGTGTAAGTTCATGGAATATATTTACAATTTACCTCAAAAAGGTATTGACATTAAAAAAAAAATTAATATCTGCACAAAAATTATTTTTGAGACACAAACATAATTTTATTTTTCTTTTAAAAATTTTAAAATGTTTTTGTTTTTAGAGCGATTGTGTAAATTTATTTTAGATTCATTAAATATATTATTTCACGAAGGTGGTAGACCTTTGTTATATCAAATAAATAAATTGAAAGTATTTGGATAAAATGAGAAAATACATGCTCACTTTTACATATTTCTTAAAGTGTAAATTCTTAATATTTAAATCTAAGGTTGTTCACATTGTACAAATTCAATAATAATTTATTTTTACAATAGAATTTCATTTTAGCTATATATTTCATGTGACGAAAAGATGGCTGTATTTTATAGCATTTTTCATAGCATTTTAACTTTCTCGAAAAAATATTGGCATGCTGCAATGAATACAAAACAAAGCATTAAATTTGAGTTAAATTAGGGAATGCTAACGAATGAGTTGCATATTAAATTTGACATCTTAAAAGTTGAAGGTCAAAAGAACTTAATTCAGATGATTCCAATTAATAATATGAACGCAAATCTTATTGAATTAAATTCAGTCATTGTAATTAGTAATCAAATACATGGTTATCCAACAAGAATTGCTAGTTATTTTCGTTTTGTTTTGTTAAACATTTGTTAATCAATAATGAAAACAGCAATTTAATCGTGCAAATTTCTACCAATTCATGTCAAGCAGCTGAATTGAAACCATTTTAAAGAAAAGAGCAAAAATATGTAACACTTTCTTTATTCTATTGTTTTTCTATTTAATTTCTCTTGTAATGAATTTAGACTGTTATTAATACATAGTTATTTAGGAAATTTTTGAATATGAACTTACAAATAATAGGCAAATTTTCCTTTTTTTTAAATTTTGAATTTTTTTTTACAAAATTCATATTATAATTTAGTACGATTATCATTTTTCTGTCATTTGAATATTGGCATTTGTAAATTTAATAATCTTGACTTTATTTACAAATAAAACTGATTGAAATAGGTACACTGTGTTCCTGAAATTGTAAAAACGTATACTCTGTATGAGTTATTATATTGCCGTACTGAGAATAGATAAAAATTAAATTTTATTTTTTAATTCTTTCTGCAATATTTTACAATTTTCACAATTTTGAGTCTTTGTTAGAGTGAAAATTCCAATATGAAACTTAGTATAGAGATTATATTTCCGATAACCAATACATATATAGCCATTTTAAGATGTGATAAAGTTAAAATAATATCTGGCACATTTTCGTCTTTTAAAAATTTTATTATTTTACCTTGTATTCCTTCGAGAAGTGCATCATTTTTACGCCATTTTATATTTAATAAACCAGATGAATCTGCCCACAATAAATACTTGCTAATTTCTCTTTCAAATACATCATTTTTGTGAAGAACAAATGCTCGATGTAATTGAAAACAGATAAAAGAACTTTCACGTACTTTAGGTCTTTTTAAAAATTTTTGTTGTTGAATATAGTAGGACATCGTTTGTGGTATTAGAGCATAAGCAAAATTTGGATTTAAATTTGTTAAATAATTAAAATAGTCATTTTCATCGATAACTTTCATCAAATGCAAAAATTCTTTTGGAAAAATATTCTTTCCGTGTTGTTGAAATAAATCGTATCCTCTTTCATCATGGCATAAAATAGTCAGTTTATTATTAATTATGTCTGAAATACTTTCAATTTGATTTTCATATAAGATGTTAATAAGAAAATTTGATAAATTTGCTAAATATAAATTTGATAGAATTAATCCAAGTTGCGTCACCAAAATTATCCAACATATTCTCCATGTATTTAGTTTTTCATATTTAACATAAATCGGCATACGAAGTATAATTTGAATTGTTTGACATAAAAAATAAGCAAATTTTAATTTACCGTCACTTAAAAAGTTCATAAGAGCTGCAATGATAGAACAATAAATTATGAGAAATAAAATTAATAGCCACACTTCATTTGTAAATGGTTTAATAAAATAAAATTCTTTTTTTATTTCAGCTGCATTCGGAACCATAATTTTGATATTATGAAGCTCATAATCATCGGTTAATGCGAATTCTTCCCTAGCTTCAGATGTTTCAATAATAGTAGATAAGCAAACGTCTATTTTCCTATTTTCAATTAGTTCCAACTTATTCATATATGAATGTTTTGTTGTCCAAGTAATAGAAAAATTAAGTTTTTTCGAAAGTTCTAGAAAAAATTTGTAAACATAACCGGTTTTTTTTCTATCGCCGTTTAAAGTTGTATATTCAAAAAATTGTGGAGGGCTGACTGTTATATAAGCATTTATTATGAAACCTCTTAAATCCTTGTATTTATTGGGAAACATTTTAGAAATATTTTCAATATGGCTGATATTTTGTAAAGCGATTTTCGGAAACGGATCATAGCTAAATATTTGCAAACTGTTGTTATCATGCATTTGAAATAAAATTATTATATTAACAAACATGTTGCTAAAACACCAATTAACTAGTGCTTGTAAATCATCGACTGTATGGATTCTTTCCTCAATTATAAAAATTAGTTTCGTCTCTCGTAATTTTGTTAAAGAAGCGTCGACTATTTTCAATATATTAAAATCAGATTTGTTGGCGAGCTGTACTATTGCAAGAATGTTGTTATTTATGATTTTGCGAAACTGAATTGAATTGTTGGTATTTAATTGGATCACAGGTACTTGCATTAAAGTTTTGTATAATGGCAAAGTTTCTGAATTTTTCTTCGAAGCGGAACTGCGGTAGATTATTATTGTGGTGAAATTGTAAAATTGCAATAAATTGTCAAACCAGTGTTGAATTTGTTTTGAATTTATGGCCGACTCTATCGTTAGAATGATTAAAAGTGAAAATATAACAAAAAAAATAGTTTTCATTCTAACTTGTTAAACGTTTGCCATTCAACTAATGAAAAAAAATAAGATTTTGTTTGGAAAAATTTTTTATTCTCCATGGATTTAAATCCCAAAAGGCGTACATATTAGAGATTAGATTTAGAAGGAAGATTAATATCAAATTATTACTTGTTCAAACATGCAACTGAATTTTTCATTTTTATATTAATTTTATCCATAAATAATGTATATAAACATGTGTGTGTTCCATAGAACACTGCCTTTAAATAGTGTGCAGACAGTTAAATTGATTCAAGTTGTGATCATTGGTTTTAAACTAAAACTTAATTTCTGTTTTAGATTTTATAAGATTATAATAAAAAAACTCCAACATAAAGCAAAATATAGACAACGCATTTCCGATAACTAAAACGTACAAGGCCATCTTAAAGTGTGCCAAAGTTAAAACAATTTCTGCCATTTCACCATCTTTTAAAAATTTTAATATTTTAGCTTCAATTCCATCGGAAAGAGCATCGTTGTTACGCCATTTTATGGTAAATATTCCAGATGAAAATGCCCACAACAAATATCGGCTCATTTCTCTTTCAAATATATTATTCTTATGAAGAAAAAATCCTCCATGAATTTGAAAACATGAAAATAAACTTTGACGTACTTTTGGTCTTTTTAAAAACATTTGTTGTTGAATATAATAGGACATAGCTTGCGGTATTAAAACATAACCATAGTTAGGATTCAAATTTGTAAGGTAATTTAAATATTTTTCCTCGTCTACTTTGGTAAGAAGTTTCAAAAATTTTTTAGGAAAATATTTTTGACCAGCTTGTTGAAATAAGTTTATTGATCGTTCGTCACGGCACAAAATCGTTAAATTATGATCAATGATATCCTGAATAGTTTTAATCTGTTTTTCATACAAAATATTAGTTAAAAAGCTAGATAAATTTGCCAGATATAAATTTGATAAAATGAATCCAAGTTGTGTCATTAAAATTAACCATAATATATTCCACTTATTTAACTTTTGATGGACATAAATTGGTATGAAGAGGATAAATTGAATTGTTTGACTCAAAAAATAACCAAATCTGAATTTACCGTCAATTAAAAAGTTCATAAGACCCGCAATGATTGAACAATAAATTCCAAGCAAAAAAATTGTTAACCAAACATCTTGTTCGAACGGCTTGGAAAAATAAAATTCCTTTTTTATTTCGGCTGCGTTCGGAAGCATAATTCTAATATTATGTAGATCATAATCATCAGTAAATGCGTATTCTTCCATAGTTTTAGGCGTTTGAGTAATTGCAGATAAGGAAACTTCTATTTTCCTATTTTCAATTAGTTCCTGCTTGTTCAAATATGAAAGTCCTGTCGTCCAATTAATAGAAAAATTTAATTTTTTTGAAAATTCTAAAAAAAATTTGTAAACATAACCGGTTTTATTTCTATCGCCTTTTAAGTTTTTGTATTCGAAATATTGCGGAGGGCTTGTAATAATATAAGTATTTATTACAAAACCTTTTAAATTCTTGTATTTATTGGGGAACATTTTAGAAATATTTTCAATATGGCTGATATTTTGTAAAGCGATTTGCGGAAACGGATCATAGCTAAATATTTGCAAACTGTTGTTATCATGCATTTGAAATAAAATTATTATATTAACAAACATGTTGCTCCAAGACCAATTAATTAATGTTTGTAAACCATCATTAGAATTGATTTTGTCCTCAATTATAAAAATTAATTTTGCCTCTCGTAATTTTGTTAAAGAAACATCGACTATTTTCAATATATTAAAATCAGATTTGTTGGCGAGCTGTACTATTGCAAGAATGTTGTTATTTATGATTTTGCGGAACTGAATTGAATTGTTGGTATTTAATTGGATCACAGGTACTTGCATTAAAATTTTGTGTAATTGGAAAGTTTCTGAGTTTTCCTTCGAAGTGGAGCTCCGGTAGATTATTATTGTGGTAAAATTGTAAAATTGCAATAAATTGTTAAACCAGTGCTGAATTTGTTTTGAATTTATAGCCGACTCTATCGTTAGAATGATTAAAAGTGAAAATATAATAGAAAAAATTGCTTTCATTCTAACTTGTTAAACGTTTGCCATTCAACTAATGAAAATAATAAAATTTTGTTTGAAAAAATTTTTTATTCTCCATGGAAATAAATCCCAAAAGGCAGCACATATTAGAGATTAGATTTTGAAGGAAGATTAATATCAAATTATTACTTGTTCTCTTAAT